CCCGGCCCCCAACCGGGTGCCCTGCCCGGCCAGGCCGCCCGGGACCTCCCCCGGGCCCCTGCTGGTCAGCCGGGCGGCCCGAATCCCCACTCAGAAAAAAACGAATTTCGGAAAAATATATTCCGGATTTCTAAATAACGGGAAATTGCAAAAGGAAATCGAACTTTTTCGAAAAAAAGATATTCCGGATTTTCGAACAACGACATTTCGAATTTTCAAAAGAAAAACGAACACGGAAATTTCAGATGTTGCGCTATTGCAATTTTCCACAGCAGAAGTAGCGAGAAAACAAAATCCAAGAAAAGAAAAAAAAAAATCGATTTTCGGCAGTGAGGTCAAAATCGTGATTTTGGGAGCTAACTAGTGTGCTCTAATCAATCAATCAAGACTAATCAGCTACTTAGTCCCCACACACGTGTCAGATCAGGTTGTCCTGATTCACGTGCGGTGTTCCGATACCAACTGTTACATGCCCGGTTGGGCGATGTACATAATAACCAAGGATCCGCAATGTGATAAAAAGGACTGAATGGACAGTGCAGTGCAAGTGAGATCTCAACAAGCAGTGTACATTCTAATACATACAAAATGGTGCTTTATAGCGCAGGGAAGACTTAGATACAAGTCCTGACCTGACCGAGACTGACCTCTATCACGTAGTGCAAGATAGCGTAGCAGAATGCTAGAGTATCAATGACTAGCCCAATCAATATTGCAACGCAGACTAAACATACATCATTCTCATCACAAGGTGTGAGGAGACCTGGCGCTATACACAGGAAGAAGGCGCCAGGCCCTGATCATGCACAGACGAAGAGGAGGGGAACAGAGGAAGAAGAGGGGGAGAAATGGGAATGTTGTCAACACCAAGTCTTTGTCACAAGTCCCAAATAATCCCTCGTCTAAATGTCTGAAGCCCAAATGTCCAGTCTGGATCCAAATGTCACCAAGCTCTCTCTTTCTCTCACAGTCTGCTGATGCAGTGAAGTCAGGTAGCAAGAGGGTGAGAGGGAGATGGTGGACTGAGAAGAGGAAGAAGAAGAACTCTCTCTCTCTCTGTCATATGCCAGGTACTAGCCTGTGAAGATGAAGGTGAAGCTGGAGCTATGGCGCTGCAGGTAAGTATCCCTGGCCTCCGCCCAATCTCTCTCTCTCTAGTACTACTCTAGCTTCTACGGCGCCCAGCACTGAAGACTACTGCTAACACTACTAGCGCCCAGCGCTGAAGACTACTGCTAGTGCTACAACTACTCCTGCAGCGCTCCTCCAGAGTGCTGCTGCCGAATTCTGAAGACTACCTCCTGCCTCCTGAACTGCACGTGGCGTGCCTGGGAAGTACCTAGGAACTACCTACCAGCCTGCAGGGGGGGGCAGTCCTATATAGTGCTGGCCCGTCCAGGAGGCTGCTCTTGCCAACGCCGAAACGTGCCAGACCCTGGCGTTGAAGCTCAACCAGGGGTTGTGTTACATCTTCGACGCCACACGGGTCCTACCGGACCCGACTTCAGGCCAGAGAGACACAGTAGGGCCTAAAGGCCCAACCTTGGGGGTACTACAGGCCGTAAAGGCCTCATCTTGGACCAGACCCGATGGGCAGGCCCAAACGACATTACCGTTTGGGCCTGGCGGCGCTCTTGAGGCTGCCGCCCGCCGGTTGGGGCTGAACCGTCGATCTTTACGGTTCAGGGCACGGCCAGGCCTCGCAGCATAGAGGCCGGCCTCTGCCCCACCGGTACAAAAGTACCGGTCCAGCCTCAGTCCGGGATCGAACCACCGGCAACTTAGCGGTGCGTTATGGTTAGCGCCAGAGCGCTAGCGCTATTCTTAGCGCAGGAGCACGAGGAGCAGCAGCGGCAGCGGTATCGCAGCAGCGGCAGCGATCGGAGCAGCAGCAGCGGCGACTGAGCAAGATCGGCGGCCATAGCCGCCTGAGGTATCGGGAGCTGGAGGTTCTCTCCTCCCTCCCATTCGCCAGTCCCCTCTCTCTCTCTCTCTCCTCCTCGACTCTCTTCTTCTTCTTCAGGCTTCTTCTTCTTCTTCTTCAGACTTCTTCTTCTTCTTCTTCAGACATCTTCTTCTTCTTCTTCAGATTGGAGACTTCATACTAGTTGGACAGAGATCAGTATTGGACTTCGGTGGTAAGAGGCTGTGGTACTTACCGGATTCGAGACTTGGAGATTGTTGGGGTTGATACTCGGCTGCATCACAGTTCGGACACYGTTTACATTAGGACTCTGTATCTCCGACATTGGTGACTTATTGTCCTCGACATTTTGATCTTGTTTGATGACATTTTGGACTACCATATCGGTGACCTATCGGATTCTATCTCGGTGACCTACGGTGCTGTCTAACTCCCTCACCTCTTCATCTCTCCTCCCACCTTCATCTGTGTATGTGTGTATGGGGCTTGAACATCTTCCATGTATGGTTCAGACCCCACCATCTCACGATTGTATGTGTGTGGAGTGATATCTATGTGAGTCAGTCTATGTGAGTCAGTCCGTTTATCAGACTTCCGCTGCATACATGCTCATCCTATATTGGTTGATCTTTGGTTCTGCCCCATACTCGTTGATATTCTCACGAGTATGTAACAG